TGAATTGTTTAAGATGGCTTACTTTCTTATCTTTATGATTATAATATTTTGTATTGTGATTGGGTTATTTGCTTCTAATTATCGTATTAGAGGTATTGCTATACCAATAACAGGGGGTTTTTTAATCTACGAATTATTATTTTTTACTTTAGCTTTAGTGTTTGATTATCATTGGAAAAAGTTTTATGAATAACAAGAAAGTGAACGTTTTGTTGATAGCCTCATTAATCTTTTTAAAATAGACAGATTTAAAGAATTTGAATATTTTGATTATATTACACTTTTAAATACCATTTTAAATTATTTAGATAATAGATCAGAAAATTCTATATTGAAAATTTATCTTCAAGTGTAGATTTTTTAATTTATATATTAATTTTTTCATTTTCTAATAGATTGATAAGCATTGATAAGACTTTAATATTCTTAGTTCTAATAATTACGAGTTTAAAAACATGCTTCAAACTTTTTATTGAAAACGAAAGGTGGTTATTATGCTTTAAAATAACTAGAAATGATATTTTTTATTTAATAACTTTTAGTATCATATTTATTTTATCTTCATATGTAAAATTTATTCGAGATATTTTAGTTAATGTAATTCTATCTGTTTTTTATAGTATTATTCTAAGTCTTCTTATCTCAATCGTTTATTATGGAAAAAATGACTTTTTTAATCGCTTAAAAACACTTTTATTAGATAAAGATGTTTTAGAAAATCCGATAAAATTTTCTCCTTCTGATGAAAAATTTCAGATAGAATTTATATTTATTGGTTGTTTTATAATTTATCTTATTACTATATTTCTTACATGGAGATTATTTTGGAAGAAGAAAACTATTGTTAAGATGGGTTATTAAAACAACATTCTAATTTTTTAACTATTTTTATAAAAGATTTTAAGTTTTTTATTAAATATTTTAAGTTTAGTTTAATAAAAGTTGTTGTTGATACAATAAACGTTTAAATATTCGTGGTAAAAACAAGTAAAAATTGTTTTTACCAACTTTGCTAAATATAAATTTATTATGAATAGAAAAAAATTAATTTAGACTATTCACAATAAATTTATACACAAATAAAAAGATAGTTTGTGGTTTATTTATATTAAGAAAACAATCTTTTCAGACTTTTTTAATCAAAAATGTTTTTTATTTTAATTTAAATTATCAATAACGCATTACTCCTATACTGTAATCTAAGAAATAAAATAGTTTATTATTATATGTATGGAAATGTCTACAAAGTTTTATATCTTAAATTAATACTAATCTATTTTGATTTGTGAAAATCTTTAAACCCATGAGAAGTAAATACACTGACGATAGAGACATGACTATAACTGACACAGATACAATGAACAAAAGAACAGATGAGACATAATCATCATCATTAAATAAATTATCTTCTATCAGCCATCTAGCCTTCGGTAAATAGTATCAAATTGGATTATTTCTAAAGATTAAATATTTTAAGATTTTTATTTAATTTTATGATAAAAAGCAAAAGTTTTTAGTAAAATTTTCATAAATACAATAAAAAGTCAACTATAAAAATGTTTTTATGCTAACAATTATAAATAGTGCATTATTCTATGTCACTTTAAATGAATAAAAGAAACAATCAGAAAATGAATAGTAAATTTTTTCTTTTAGATATTCAAATGAAATCCCCTAAAAAATTGTGATCAAATCAAACAACCATTTTATTTAACAATTAACATGCAAACATAACACCATCACAATAATCACATTTGATATTGAAACACAGATTCACAATCTCTCCATATAACGATTAGCTAAAAATTGTTCAAATGTCTCACAATAGAACTGATAAACTTTTATCTGTTTAAAATAGTTAATTATTTAAAAAAACTCTTGGACTAAATTTCTATGTTCTTCATAATTATTATGTTCAAAATAATCAAATATTGAATAAACATTCATGTAAATTTGTCTGTTTTCTTTATAATGTCAAAAAAAATATTTTTGTTTATAGCTTCAATCTCAGTAGCAGTTCCATATACATTAGTACCCGAAACAAAAACAATGTT